ACACATCTGTGCAGTCCTGCCACCATCAAGGGATGATTCATCCTGTGAAAGGGAATTTGATGATATCTCAGAGTAGATACTTGCACCAACGCAGGAGGAAGTGCTGTAAAACTCAACGAGGCATCATCCTCCAGCCTGTCAGGGCATTTAGAGGCTCACAACAGAGGAAACACCGCTAATCAGAGACCCCTTACTGTAGACCCCTTCTTTTACGTTTGCCACTTTGAGCTGTTCAGACAGAAGTTTTCATCCAAAACCATCATCTAAATAGCTCATCTCTGGTTTGGGCTTGTTTGTACACAAATAAAGACCTTGCAAATAAAGGAGTACCTTGCTAAATATCACCTATGGCCAACGCAGTCCCAAACAACCAGGAGGTTTAAATTCCAGCTTTTCAGAAATCACTGGATGCTGTGAGGCCTTCCCAGCTAACAGCTATGAATAAAGCACAGAAACAGAGGTACCTACACAAAGAATTTGGCCCATAGCAAACATACGTTATTGTAAAATTGTCCAGAAAATAGATGCTGTTCAGACCAGAAATTACCTTAAATGACTGTTGAGTTGACTGGGTTACAATATTTTAAGGATCATAAAAATAAATATAGTTGTCCAAACAGAGAGATGCAGTGTGTTGCCAAGTCAAACAGCCCGCACGAAGGGGTGCTCGCCCCGCGCAGCGCTGGGCTGCCTGTAAACTGCAAGCGCTGGGATGAAGTGACTCTTTGTTCAGTCTGTGTGTTTAAAAATTGACGAGTGCTCCGTGGTATCAATCATGCCTGTCAGACAGCACAAGTGCAGATCTGTTACACTTAAAGGGTTGTCAAACGAGACATGATTTAATTTGTCATTTTTTTTCTCTCTCTCTTAGTGCGGCATGCACGTGCTCTTCATTACTCTTCATCATCGGGGAAAATGAATACATTTTTTGTATAATTTTTTTTCCTCGGGAGGGTGGAGGGATGGTTGTTTACCAATGACCCAGCACTTGTGAAGAGATCATAAGCAGCTGTTCCCTACATGCCCTCACGATCTGAGAATTTAACGAAGCCGCGGGAGGGGTGGGATGGGAGCAGGGCACTCAATGGACAAAGGCCTCGCGATGCACGGCGCTGCAGCCTGCAAGCACTGCCCTGGGCCTCCACAAAGCTTCCCTCCCCTCCAAACTCGCGTGAAAGCGACTTGTTCCTGGGATCTTCATGTTGTTCAGGGGAACGGAGCCCACGGGAATTTTGCTCGCTTTAGGACTGCAAGATGGAACTCAAAAACCTTCTGATTTCTGCAGCTCTGTGAGCTGGATCTGATTCCTGGGAGCAGCTCTACCTGTTGTTTCAATCCAGAAGTAAAGCAGATGTGTGTAATATCAGAGTGCTGTGGAAAGGAAAGGATTAACTCATTTGTTTCACAGTTAATGTTGTTGAACTTTTTTTTTCAGGCGACACGCAGCTGCATTCTTCAGTTCGTACTGCATACACTGCAAGAAGTTGGACTGAAGAACGTGAAACCTGCCTTGTTCCTGGTAACAACAGCTCTCCTGCCCTGCACTAAATGATGTCTGCAGCCAGGCTCACACCAGCACAGCAGATGCCACCAGAACATCCCTGCAGAACCAGCAACCGGGCCGGTCCATGCGGAAGAACCTGAACTGAGCTGCTGTTCCTGCAACTCCTGGGGAAACGTTTTACAGGTCCCCAGTGACAATGGGCGTTAATTAAGCACAGCGCTCACCTGGCAGGTCTCATCATGTTCCATCATGGTAGAGCAGCAAGGTCATATCTGCAGTGCTCCCTGGACGTGAACCTAGAGACACAGCACTGGGCACTGGAGATCAGTGACAGCCAACAGGACCCACCCCACACCTCCAGGCCATGAACAGAGAGAACTGGAGCCCTGCAGGATGGAAACACTGATTTTCTTCCCTACACCTCCTAGCTACTTTTCTGCTACAGCTCCTTGGGCGCCCGTCTCTAGCCAGACTTTATTTCAGTGCCGATAAACGTAGTCAGGATGTGAGGAAAACTACCAGGATAATTTTATCCCTCACGGTAAAGGAACCCATATCATGGACATTAAACCCACACAAGGTGAACAGCAGCAGTCCCAAGCCTTCGCCTATAACACAAGCCCCAAAGCAGCCTCAGTGCCCGACAGTGAGCTGTTTCTCAAGGCCTGCTGCTCAAATGGAGCAGGAAAATACCAGCACACTGCCAACATCTGCACACCCCACAACAGCAGGGAATTTATGCGATAATGAATTATCACAGAGCCTTAGAGAAGGTCAGAAACCAAATATAAGGGCAAACCAGTCGGCTGCAGCTCTACCTTCAGCCTGAACAGCACCATTCCAAGCACCACATCTGCAGGAGACCAGGAATATCCCATCCCTGGAGGTGCTCAAAGCCACGTTGGATGGGGCTCTGGGCAATCTGAGCTAGTGCCTGATTTAGCAGTTGGCAACCCTGCCCCAGCAAAGGGCTTGGAACTGGATGACCTTTGAGATCCTTCCAGCCATTCTGCAGTTCTATGAACATGAGCAGCTAACAGAGCTGATGCCCCTGGAGCAGCCAGCAGCAGGAGGGAGCCAGGGGGACAGCAGGCCCTAAGCTCGTGCTTGATGGCTTTTCTGAACTGTGTCCCAAATCCTGCTTTACCTATTAATGTGAATAGCCCTATTGAATTCAGTCGGGCAGCTCATGGGAATACAGATAGAAAACCTTGGCTCTACTTCGGTAAACTAAATTTCAAGAACAGTCTGAGTATACCATAACAAAGACCCCAAAGCCAGTGAGAACCATGAAAGGAGCTCATTTCATTACTAAATCAATTTATAAGTATAAACATGGAGTTATCTGACTAAAATATGGGTTTTCCCTATTTGAAATACTGCACCTCCAACTTACTTGATGTCACCAATAGGCACCCCTCAAGGAAGCAGGCAGCATGCTGCCTTTGGATACCCAACCATAAATCAAGAGATTTCCTGAAGTCTGCCTGGAATAGTGGAGAGTAGCCAAAATTACATGAAGTGCTATTTGTGTGCTATTAGTTGTGGGGTGTGTGGGGGGAGTGTGGGAAGGAAAAAGGGGAAGAAGGAAAACCACTTTCTTAATAGTTCCTACGATATTTGGAAAACATTCATTCATTGCATCCATTTATCAGGCTTCCATGTAATAACTCCAGGTCAAAAAAAAAACAAAAACACAACCATGACGGGGTGGTGGAGAGAGGAAATCAGGGATACTGGGTTTTGACTGGGAAAAACTGGAATGTTGTCAACGTTTCCATTTAAAAGAAATATAATTACAAAGCGATGTTTGTGTCTAGGTGCCATGCAGTGGCAGCAGATGAGGTCAATTTGTTCTGCTCAGCAGTTTCACATCTGAGCAACAGCTCAGTCTTACAACTTTTAAGATTGCATATTCAGACAGTGCAGCACTCCCACATATCCACTGCAATGCCTCCAATAGCTGGAAGAGCCTGGCTGAGGTCCCACAGCAAACCCTGAACCTCGCGTCCCCCAGCCGTGCCTGCAGCGCTCAGGGCCGGGTTCTGCAGCACTGCAGGGCTGCGATGCTGCGATGTATGGCAACGATACGTGGTGTTGAAGAAGAGATCCCTGTGAGAGGACACATCGTCACCGCAGACACGAGCTGGGCTCCTCTCCGCCTGAGCTCCAGAGCCATTCCCTGCTTTCACTGGTGACCAAACATCACAGAGTCATCTAGTGGCCAAGGGGGATCCTACAGTGAGCGCTTCCATTTCTCGACATGAAAAATGGAAAGGTAGCTAGCAATTAGCTCCTGGTATCTGATTTCACCGTGAATTTGAAAAATGCAACAGGAATCAAGAAACCGAGATGAAATAAGTGCCCATGTGAAGCCAGAGCCCGAGGATGGGAGCGAGCTGCTCTTACAGCACTTGAGTTGTCATGAGCGACCTCCCCTGCTGAGTATTGATCCTGGCTTAAATGCAAAAATTTGGTGTCAACTGTCATCTGCAAGGAAGACAGATCTCACTGCAGCGAGATCACAAATCCTTTCTCTCATTCTTTAGCAGATTACATCCGTGGTTGTCTTTTGATGTTTCTAGCTGAGAGAACACTTTTATAAAACAAAACAAAACAGAAAACCTCTTTGGGAATCCCTGTTGGCGCGATGTTTTTGATTAGTGCTAATGTTTTTCTGGCCGGCTGTGAAAATGCATTTAACTATAATTGAGTAGGCATTGTAATTCCAAAGCTTTATGAAACAAAAATCCACAGAGTGACAATCTGATACAGAAATCTGGCAAAAGATGATGTATCTTGCTCCTCAGAGACAAGCTTAATGGAATAAAAATATTGATCTAATATAGAAAGATTGGATATATGTTTTCCTATAGCTTCCACTATTATCAAGGGGGCAAGGGAGAAAATTCTTAACATGAAAACCCATTCATATTTGGAATAGTTTCCTCTTAAAGGAAATGGTGTAATTGTAATGTCAGTGCTCACTGTGCTGCAAACCAGACAAAGCACTGAGGAGCGCAGCGCGGAGAGCAGAGCTGCAGGGCGATGGCATGGACCCATCCTCACCACTGTGACTTCTGTGATTCCACTGCTTCTGAGTTCACTCAGATTGGAAGCAGAGGAGAGGGAGGAAGGAGGAGAAAAGGAATTCCTTGCCCTCACTAGCACCACAGTTATCCTACGCTTTATTCTCTCAGCCAGAGATGGACTGAAGTAACTTGCTGGCCACATCCTGAAGAGCTCCTTATTATGGTGGCTGGGAGGAAATCGTGTGTCATCTCCACTCAGCCCTAGAGCTGGAAAAAGCAAAGCCTGCTTGACTTCCATACAGTACATTTCTGAGAGTACTTTTAATTAATGCTCTAAATTAGACTGTCTTGCAGGAAAAACAAATCTGTCGATGGAACAGACTTTTTCATTTGTGAAACAAGGCGCTCAGCCGTGCAGCAGGAATGGTGACACCACCAATTTGGCTGTGCTGGCTGATGCTAACCTGAGCAGGGCTGCAGTGCCATCAGGACCCGTCCACCGCCGGCCCTCCTGCTTCCTTCATCCACGCAGAGCTCTGGGCACGGTCTCTCCCTCTTTGCATTTTGAAAGGGGGGAAAAAAAAAAGACTGAAAAAAAGAACAACCCAAAAGAACACTGCGGATAAAGAAAAAATCACAGCATCGAATCAATTAATGCGAGTTCTTCCTAACTTCCACGCAAGCTTTGCCTTCAATTAGCATGATCTCACTGAACCCTCTTGTGTAGGCCTGGAGCAAAAGCAATGGAAACTTTCTCCCTTCTTGTTTTAATCTTTCACCAAGTCCTGACTTTCGCCTCCAGCCCGTCTAATTGAAACTAATCTTCGCGGGCGAGGCCTGTCTCTTTCCCTTAATCCCTCTCTAAGGAAGCTCACATGGTCCCAATTACAGCCACACCGGCCCCTTTTATTCCCCTCCTCGTCTCTTTCTGCCAGTTTCATTTTTTGAAAGTTTGCATTATTAACTCCATGCTTGCGAGTTCCTGTCTGTCACGGGGGCCTAGAGATGTTATCACTGGTTGCCGATGTATAAGGTTACCATGAAAGCATTTTATGGATTACATTTTGCAAAAAGGCGATAGAGGGCATGATAGCCAGCACAGTGGCGAGCTTTATAGGAGTTTATATCTGCAATAAATGAGAGGCCAAGGAAGTGTTTATCTTGGACTTAAGTGTATACCTGCTTAGCTATCTGAAGGCAGAGACAATAACAGCTAAGAGGGGATCGCTGCCATTCATGCAGGGCTCTCACAGAGGTGCCTGTGCATTGGGCTGCAGTGCTGCGAGGGAGGCAGCAGAGCCACGACCAGCAAACCCGGCCGGGAATGTGTTTAACATTATGGAGTTAATGAGGTTATGAGAAGGCAAAGATAGCGCTCGCTGGTTCCCAAGGTGGCTCCTAATCCCAAGGCAAAGCCTAGCCCATTAATGCCGGAGCTCAAACAATTTATTAAAAATAGACAACTCTCTTTCTCTTCCTTTTTTTTTTCCTATTTTTTTTCTATTTCCTTCTCATAACTTGCCTGGTCGCAGGCAATAGCTTCTGTGTTCCTCCAGTGCCATGATTTATTGCTTGCTTATATAGTTTCTGGTTCAAAGCTAGCACATAAATCAATCATGGTGGTTGCTCCCCTGAATACATTCATTTGAACTCCTGCTGGAGCCCTGAGAAGCACAGCTCAGCACCCCACAGCCACCTCCCTCCTCCCCATCCCCAGCAAAGCTCACTGGGTTTCACTGAGCATGAGCACACGCATCCCCAGACTTCACCTCCTCTCTCAAGCAGGACAGCAGCAGCACAGGACAAACCTCCTCCTGCATTGGCACGATAGCTGCATGCAGCTCTGGAACCACAGATCTGCCCACTCTTATTCCAAGTGAATGGCAATTGAAGTCTGGCCTTTCTGTAACTAAGTAAGGGAGCATAGCAACCATCTGGGCTTTTCAAGTTGCCAAAAAAAAAAACAAACAAAGAGTTATATTTGCTCATATCGACTCCCTTTGGAGAGAAAGTAAAAATGAGGGAAAGAAGCCACGTGAATGACATCCCTTGTAGGTGAATTTATAGCTCAGTGTTCAGTACCCAGCTGCACCAGCTATCCCAGCTGACCCAGCCCCAGGGGCAGGAAGGACAGGCTCCTTTTCCACCTGCTGAGCCAAGCTCAGCTCCGGCTCGGGACGCTGCCTGCAGTAGGGCTGCTCACTGGCCAGCTGGAAACCCTGTCTATCTCATCTCTCACCATCAGGGTAGCACAGGGTATTTCTCATGGGCCTGGAAGGGGCGAATGCTGCAAGAGTGCTGGATGTTAGCTCTACAGGCAGGACTTCACAACATTTTACGAGAAAAAAACTCAAAATATGGGGAAAAAACCAATCAGACTAAATGCACCAGAACTAGAAATGTAGAAATTCCTGAAGAAAATATTTGAAAAAAAAAATATCATTTCTGTCAGCCAAAACATCTTTCCTGTAATTTCAAAGCATTTCATTTTTTGAACATTTTGAACATTTTTAAATACGTTCAATTCACTAGCTTCAGAGCAACAAGTAATTTAAGCTACAAAGAAAAAAAGACTATTTCTTTTTTAAAATATCAAAATAACATATTTTGACAAACTCAAAGCATTTTTCCAAAACACAATCCAAGTCAAAAATGTCAGAAACCCTTCCCGCAAGGAAAACTGGCATTTTAAAGACGAAATAATATCTTGCACATCTGGACAACGAATTCTTGGCCAACACTAACTCCTATTTTGCAGTGGCTCCACCTGTAGAAGTGCAGCAGACCCGCAGCGAGGTCCTGCAGGACTCAGGCACGGCGCAGGCACTGCAGCTATTTCAGGTACTTGGCTTTATGCGTTCCTCATCTTTCTTTCTAATGGCAATACAACATGTGCTTGTCTCCCATTGTTTTATGTTATTTTTTTCCCAGTATGGAAGTCTTCAAGACCCATTTGTCATTACTTCACTGTCTTTCACAAGACTCTTTTCATAAATTCCTGATCATCTTGATAGAACAATAAAACAGCCAAGCCTGTTCTAAGTCTTGCTGGAGAGGTGCTGATGCAGAGGAGAACGGCCCCATATTTTTAAAATTTGAATTGCTGACACAGACTTTACAAAGCCATAAGAGAAAATACATCAACACATCTGTACGGATGTGACTCTTGATGTCTTTTTTTCTGGAAGATTAGATCTGCTTGGAATCCATTTGTGCTTGCCTCCTTTTCTGGCCTAGGGAGCGCAGTCAGCAAGAAACTTCACACTGCAGCCTCTGGTTTGCTGCTGAATGTTCCACATGTGAGCTGAGAAGTAAAAACTCATGGCATAACATCACACGTTTTATGGCATAGCAAGAAGAGGTCATTCTTTCCTTTTGCCTTTGATATTTATGAGGACTTACAGAATGATTAACTGAGGAGGATGGTGGAAATGAATCCTAAACAGAGAAGCTTTGGATTCTCCAACCAAACGAGTGGCTTTTATTCCAGATTTATGACCTTTTCACAGCCTGATGATGATGAGTAATGACCTATCTTCACACTATTGAAGCATTTATTATGACTATTTATCAATAAAGTAACATAACAAGATTTGAAGAGGCATAAAATAATGCTAGGAGCGCAGCCAACATTGTCTCAGCTGTGAACTTTCCCAGATACCTGAAGAGGGCAGCACAGGAGGGTGCCTGCTTCTGGCACATGCCCTGAAGGGAAAGCATTGAGGGAGAGTGTGCAGAGGGGTGGGAGAGAGCCCAGAGCCCCAAGAGGTAAGGAGGCAAGGGAATTCCCCCAAGGGGAAGAGAGAGAACAAATTTATGTTTGCATCCACAACTCTTCTCTCTTTTTCCAGGATCTGAGGGTTGTTCTCCATGATGTCCAAAGAGTCACACAGGATTCTTCACAGCATTCAATTCATACCATTAATTTGAATTCTCCAGTTTTCAGTTGTAAAACTCTTATCAGAATGACAGCTGCCTTTGATGCTTTTCAGGCCCATGAAGCAGCTTGAACCCAGCAGAGAAGGATAAAAACCCACAGCACTCCTGCCCCTCCATCAGCTTCGAGCTAAGCACTGAAATTCTACTTGACTTTCATGCCAGTTACCAGAAATTCTCATAGAGCTAAATTGAGCTAAATGCTGAAAATACTGCTCCTGAAAGTCACACGGTCCAGCAGAGTAATTCATCTTTCTGTGAGAGCCTACAGCCATGCCTGCTGCCCGAGCTCCCGTCGCTGTGGTTGTGCACTGGGGCAGCTCTTCCCAGGGAAGTGCAAGCAAGAGAGGATTTCCTCCAGCCTCTACACATAAGAGAGATCAGGCCTTCCCACTTTTGAAGCAGGCTGTCAGTAAATGTCATATTTTATTTTGCTTCCGAAAGACAAACATGGCAACACATACTTTGTTAGCAGGCCAAAAGAATTATAACTGTATTTTGCTGAAAGCAGTGTTGATTTCGATTTAGCCTAGCACTTCTTGTAAAACTGAATTACACTGAATTCACTCTAAACAGCTGTGACATTGGCATCTTTATAACATGCGCGCGCTGCTCGCTATGGTGAGAGTGCAATTGATGCTCGGGGGAAGGCAGCTCCTCTCAACAGCACAGAAATGACAACTGAGGCCAGGACACAAGAGTCAGCGAAGCAAACGAGAAGAGAGAATTCATAGAGGAGCGTGGTTTCTGGATAGCTGCAGCTGGTCCTCTGCCAGTGACTCACAGGGACAAGGAGCAGAACCCACGTGGGTCCTTGAAGTCTCGTCCAGAACCAAAGCAGGACATCGAGCTTCACACTTCTGCTCCCATGCCTCAAGAACTTGGTATTAATGGTCAACATGTGTAGAACTCAAAGACAGTGGGCACCATTGAAGTGAACAGAGCAGCTGAAATCTGATTTAATGGAGTTTAGATCTGGCATAACCTTTCTGAGGCAGTGGTTCCTCTCTTTCCATGAGGTATTTTCATTCCATAATTCAGGGAGTTCCAGGAAACTCCACAGGGTCAAACCCAGGTCTGAGCCAGACGCTGCTCTCAGGCTCAATCTTGGGCGTCCTTGGTCACAGCTCAGCCCCTCACACAGAGCTGCTGTGCTGACCTCTGTACTTTCTCATTTCTTTAGGAAGATGTGCCACATTACCAGGCAGAGCCTAACTAAAGCAGCAGTTCTGCTGTAACCATGTAGGTGGACGAGGGAAGTCACTAATACAACAGTGATGGGTTCTGTGCCCTCAGAACTGAATCTCAGACCCAGTATGCCAATGCCAGGCTCCAAGCTCCCAAAGCCCATCTGTAGCAATCGTTAAATAAACTCTTCATGGTGTCTTCTGCAGCTTTTAATAGACTGGAGTACTTACACTGTCAGCTTTTAGTGGGCAAGATGTAATTTTCCAATAAACACCACCTCTTCCAAAAAGCAGGACTTTCTGAACTTTTTCCAGAATCCAAAGGTTTTGGCTGCAGCTGCAGCAATGGGAATCAAATTATAAAAACAAAATCCCTCCTTTCACTCCATGCTTTCAAATGTTTTTCCAGGGCTGAAATGAGAGG